TCCCCTAGGCATGTAGCCTTCCTGCTGTGTCTTCCCTTTCTACTGGTCTATGTCCAAGTTTTCTCTTCTTAAAAAGACAGCAGTTATACTGGATGAGAATCCATCCTGCTGACCTCATTTAAACTTAATCACCTCTCTAAAGACCTTATGGACAAATACAGTCACTTCCTGAGGTACTATAAACTAGGACTTCAATATATGAATGCTAGGGGACAGAATTAAGTCCACAGGGATTCAAATGTACATTAATGTTTGGGAAACAGATTTGCTCAACCTCTATCTTCTTTTCCAATACTCATGTTCATTAATTATTGGGCTCCAAACTAGCCTTTTGCTTCAGAATAAAGAATAATGTTCTGATATATTTGGAGTCAAGTCCTCTGAGATATACTCTCATAGGCCTCATCAATATTTGTTCTGACCAACAATTCCACTATGAGACACTCTACATACAGAGGCTCTCTGAAGACAAATGGTATTCAACCATTACTATAGTTCGAGCATTCCCTCTCTGAAATCTGAGATTCTCCAAATTTCAAAACTTTTAAAGCATCAACATGGTACCACAAATATGATGATTCAATGTATATAAATACTGTTTCATTCACAAAATTATTAGAAAATATCATATTAAATTGCCTTTAAGCTGTGTGCATAAGATATTCATGAAACAATTGATTTTCATTTTTAGACTTGTGTCCCATCCACAAGACAATTCATTATACATAAGAAAGTATTCTAAAATCAGAAAAAATATCTGAAATTCTTAAGACTTCTGAATGCAAGAATTTCAGATAAGGAATATTCAACATGTAATAATTCTAATTTGGAAAATTTTCCAATGCTTTTAGGTGGATAGACTTGAGCCCACCTGGAAACCACACAGGGACCTATTGCTCGGGGCTTATAATGGCAATATGGGTCATTGGGATTTTTATAGGGACACAAAATAACCATACTCAGTTTTTCCCCACATGGGACAGCTCCATGACCTAGTGTGCACATGTCTACATGTCCCACTTTAAATTCAACTTAAGAATTATCTGTATTGTATGTTTCTCCTGAAAACATGCAATTAAAATCGAACTACTGAAAAATGAGCTGTTTGCCAACAAGTGTACTTTTATTTGTGGTTTGGATATGAAATGTCCCCCAAAGGCACAGGTGTCTAAGTTTTGCTCCCCATCCTTGCAAAATTGGAGTTTTGACAAGTGATGGAAACTTTTCTTTCCTTTTCTTTATATTATTTTATTTTTATTTAATGTGTCTCCATGTTCTCCAGGTTGGCCTTGAACTTCTAGATATAAGTGATTATCGTGCCTCAGCCTCCAAAGAGCTAGGACTATGGGCTCATGCCACCACACCTAGCTTCAGGTGGTAGAACATTTAAGAGCTGTGGCCTGGTTGGAGAAAGTTAGGTCACTGGGGTCATGCCCTCCAAGGGGTTAGTGGAAATCTATTTCCTTTCTTGTTGTTTTCCACTATCATGAAGTTAATCACTTTCCTTCTCCATGTATTTCAGCAAAGTACCTAGTGAGAGTCAGAGTGTGGCCTGCTCCCCCCAGGCCCTCTGTGGTCCTCTGCCTCTACTTCCTCAGGCCTGAACTGGCTGGCTCATGGCTTGAAGAACCCTCAAGCCTTCCCCATCTGGATGACTTGATGGTGGTGAAGACCTATGGGACCTAGCACCCTGGACTGCCAGTCTACTGCCTCAATCCTGCATTTCCCAACCTAAGCCACTGCTGAGAGCTTGGAGCCTGTAAATGGTGTCAAGTGTGGTGTGGTTTGGCATGGCATGCTGTGGTGTTGCATGATGTGGTGTTGTGTGACATGTTACATACTAGAAAAATATTTTTTCCCTGGGAAAATTTAGAACTTACCCAGAGATAAGGAAGTAACCAGAACTCATGTAGTTAAAAAATGTGGTATTAAAAACTCAATAGTAAAATAAATCCTAACCCAACTTAAAACTAGGATAAAACATTTGAATGGGCATTTCTTTGAGAAAGATATATAATAGACCAATAAGCACATGAAAAGAAGCACAACATCATAACATATCAATGAAATACAATTCAAAGCTGCTGTGAAATATCTCCCCATGTGCACTAGAATAGTAACAAGCAGACAATAGACATAGAGAAACTAAACTCTCATTGCTAGTGGGCATTTAAATTCATGCAGTAACTTTGCAAATTAGTTTGATAGTTCTACACAAAATTAAATTCAGAGTTATCATATCAACAAGAAATTTCACACTTAGGTCTCTATTCAAGGTGAATTCAAGAAAATATGTCTACACAAAAATTTTTCACAAATGTTCATATCAGCATTGTTCTTAACAGACAGATGATGGAATCAAGCCAACTAAATGCCTACTAATTGACGAAATTTAAAAATGAACATATATACACCCAATATTATTATAAGTATTTTTCCAACACAAAAAGAGATAAATGCCCATACCTTGAACCAAGAAGAATGATTCTTGAAAACATCAGGTTAGTAAAAGAAGGCAATTACAAAATACCTCATATTGTATGATTCCTTATGTGAAATGCTCTCAATAGGCAAATACATAGAGAAAAAATGGATTAGTGGTTGCCAGAAGTTGGGAGAGGGAGGTGGGATTGGAGAATAATTATAAATGAGTATTCCATTTGTTTTTGAAGTGATGTAAATGTTCTGGACTCAGACATTCGAGACAGTTGAACAGCTCTGTGAATATCCTGAATTGTAGGATTTAAAGGGGTGATTATTGTTAAACCCTAATTTTGAGATTGAGTTATCTCTGATATACATGGGTTTATCAAGCTGTGCATGCTAGCCTGGTCCTAGGGCAAATTCCCTAAGTCACTAGTAGCACTACCAGGTAGCAGCTGAAAAAATGTCCACAGGATCTAAAGATATTTTGTCATAAAAATCCAGGGATCAGGAGGTGCAGATTACTTTCATTAAATCTACAATGGATAGAGAGAAGAGGGATATGACCTGGGATAGGAAGAGAGTCAGTAGAGACATGTTTCTGTAGCCTCTTTGTTGGTTGAGTCGATAAGTAGAATAAAATTTTGTCTCAATGGTTGATCTTAAAATATGACAAAAAATATGCTACAGTTATTTTTTCTTTGTTGTGTTAGCTTGAAACTATCAGTTAAACTCTTTTCTTTCCTTCATTCTGCTAATAACAGAATTTATAATGTCTCAAATTCCTTCTCTTTTCAATATCACGGTATGCATATTCATCTTTTAACAAGCATTATTTATCTGTTTATTTTCATGTTTAATCATTGATTTATTTTGTATACAGAGATTAAAGCCAGGGATACCTAACCATTGAACCAGATCCCCAGATACTTTTATTTTTGATTGAGACAGGGTCTTGCTAATTTGCTTAGGCTGGGTTTGAACTCTGGACCTCCTAACTCTGCCTCCCTAGCCGATGGGATTACAAGTATGTGCCAAAGAATAAAGGTGTTATTAAAAAAAATGGTATGGCACATAGGGCACAAAGTTTATGGAAGCCCTCATTCTTGGGGTCATGTAAATGGAGGATTGGCACCTAAGAAAATGGCCTGTTAAATATTTTGCCTCACCTCAGGCACTCAGGAGAGAAAACTAATTTTCATTAATTTGAAAACAGACAGGTATCAGCTGATGGACAAACTTCTAGGAAATTCTCCCTGCTTCAGAGGAAGAGACATTTGATCTGTTTCTTTCTTCTGACAACATGTCAACCTGAAGTATTTCCAATTGCTTGAAGCTGGTACAAAGAGGGATGGGAAAGAGTGTGGACCTTGGATGACATGAACTACTAAACCAATGTGCTCCAGGTGGTCCCTGCCTCTGAACCTGCTGATGAACACACTTGAGGTCCGAGCCATTTTGATTCAGTCTCTGTTTCTGTCACATTGCCAATGAGGAGTAGGACTGATTATATACCAGTTCCACAGCCTAAGCACCAAAAGTTGAAAAATAGATCAGCTGCTCAGATTCAGGACACTGTGTTCTCTATGAGGGTGCTGCACTGGTAATAATCAGTGGTGTAGAAATTGGAAAACAAAGTTTTTATTTTTATTTTTCTGGTGCTGGGGATTAAGCCATGGTCTTGTGCATATGAGGCAAACATATTACAGCTAAGTTATATACACAGCCCTTAGAAACAACATTTTTTAAAAATTATTTTTAGTTAATTATGAGCTCATAGTAATTATGCAAAAAAAGTGTTTAATTGTAGCAATTTCATACATGCATGTAAAGTACTTTAACTGAATCCACCCTACCTGTAACACACTATCCCTCGCCCCTTGTACTTTTTCTCACCCTTATCTTCCCTATTAGTCCATCTTCTACTTTCATGTCATTTTATATTATTCTCTAGATTCTACATATGAAAGAAAACATGAGATACTTGTTTTGCTTAATATGATATTTTACAGTTGCATCCATTTTCCTACAAATTACATTTACTTCCTTTTTATGGCTAAATTAAAATCTACTGTACATACATACTTACCAAAATTTTTTTATGAATTTATCTGTTAATGGGCACCTAGGCTGATTCCTTAACTTGGCTTTTGTGAACTCTGCTGGGTCAAACATGGGTATGCAGCTATCTCTGTACTATGCTGACTTTGATTCCTTCATATGTACACAGAGAAGAGTGGTATAACTGAATCATGTGGTAGGTAGCACTACCTTTAGTTCCTGAAGAAACTCCTTACCATTTTCCATAGTGGTGGGGCTAATTTACATTTCCACTAACAGCATATAGGGGAAGGGACACATTCCATTTAGCTGAATCTCTCATTTGTGTCAGGCAGGAGCCTCAGAATATAGACCTATACGACTTTCCTCCCCTAAAATCTCAGCCTGTCACTCTGTCTTTGCTTTCTGTCAGTAGAAAAGCCCAGAGTTCTAGGTTTTATGTCCTTCCCCAGTCCCCCCTGTGTTTTTCCCAGGGGACTTTGCAGCCTGCCTTTGGTTGTCAGTTTCAGAGTGCTTTCACTTTCAGAATCCTCTCGAAAACATGCTGTGCCCAACTCCACCTCAGTGTCTCCCTTGGTGTTCCAGTGCAAACCAGTGTGTGACAGAGGCCAGGCTAGGGGAGAAAGAGCAAGGGGATTAGTGACCTGACCCGGTCACACTGGATTTCTTCCCTGGGGCAGTAAATGCTGATTGGAAGACAGGCCTGATAAAGGTCTCCGGGAGTGCAGAGGCCCCAGAGTGGACCTGAGAGAGGCACAGCTGTAGATCATGGTCCTGTGATTCAGAAGTCAGCACCAGGCTAGCAGCACTGAGACCTGAGGGAGAGACTGTGTGGAAGGTGGAAGGTGAGTACTTCTCTGTGCAGGGGCTGAAATGACAGTGGACCAAGGGAGGCAAGTTTTAGAAACCCCAGGCCACCACTGGGAGAAGAGATGCCAGAGACTGAGATGAGAAAAGACAAGTCAATGATTTGCTGTGTTTAGAGAAAGAGCTTCTTGGGAGATCATGGGGGTCAATGGTGCAGCAGGACCTTGCTTAGGGCAAGTCCCAAAGAAGGGCAGCATGATTTCATGAAGACAAAGATGCTGCACAGCCTCCTGGCTTTTCTGCTTGCCTCTTGCCTGCCCATAGCCCTGACCCTCACCCTGGTGGGTGTTCATGCTCCAACACCACTCCCACCTACTTGCCTTATTTCCTCATGTCTCCTCTCTCCTCAGGGAGTCACAGAGTAACTTCTGTCTTACCTTTCACTGTGCTTTTAAAATCTCCAGTATCCAGTTCACAACCAGTGCACCCTTTATTTATCTGAGGTTTCCCCCTAATTGATGGAGCTCTTGCTGTTTCCTGAGCATACTTGCAGGTGCTTAGAATCAGGATACCAGGCACCTTTCCTGCAGACAGAGGCCAGTCTTGTGGGTCCAACAATAAATGAGACAAGGAATTACAATTAGCAGTGATGAGTCAGAGTGAGGAGGATGGAGCTCTAGACTAGGACATCAGAGGCCTCCTGGTGCTGAGCCTATAAGAGGGCAATGAGTGATTGGAGCCTGGTGACAGGGATGGAGTAGGAAGCCTTTTATGTTGGATATCAGTGTTTTCCAAAGATCAGAGGTGATTGGGGGGATCAGGGTGGGTAGAAGTGGAGACTGTGACAGAGGAGGACTGCAGCAAGGGATGGGGCCAGGCAGGTGGGATGCCATTTACAAAACACATTTTGAGCTTATCCCTAGGGCCCCTAGAGATTTAAGGTTGGGGTCATAGGATCCAGACAGCACTTCCCTTTCAGTATTCTGTGTGTCTATCCATCTGGGTAACTGATTGGGGGAGTCCATTTTCTGAGGCTCCCTAGCCTACTTGATTTGCATTTTAGTGAGCAGGGGCTGATGGTACTGGGGATCTCTGGGTCAGGGAGCTCAGAGGCTCTGGAGAGGAGCCAGGTGGTTCAGACGAGGCACAGGATCACAGGGGCTGGAGAAGTGGAGTGGGGAAGAATGATTTGGGAGGGGGCTAAATGCATGCTTGGACATAGGATTGGGGGATCTTTGAAAAATGGGAAGTTGTCAGGGAGGTTTCCCAAGGTCTAGGGCTAGCCACCCGTGAGGGAGGGTCTCATGCATAGAGCTGCCCATTGGTGTTTACACTCCACTGTCTCTGGCTTCAAGCAGCCACCTCCTTGCTCTGGCTTTGACTACTCACTCTTCTTTCTTTGACCTGTCAACTTCTGTTCTCCTCTGCCTGCTTTTCTGCTCTTCCTTTCCTTGACAGTTTGATGTTCTACAGAGACCAGCCCCTTCCTCACATGTCTAATCTGTTCCCATGGCTTTCGCCGGTACTCAGAAATTTTCTGAATTCACAAGAAAAATGAAAGCCAAGCAGAGACCACACACAGTATCCTCAGCCCCATTTCATTGTGTTTCTCTGTCTTCTTTGCCCCCAGACCCTGCATCATAAATTATCTTTCAAAAGCAAATGGCACCTTTGCCATCCAGGTTTTGAAGACGCTGTGTCAAGACAGACCTTCACAAAATGTGTTTTTTTCTCCCCTAAGCATCTCCTCTGCCTTGGCCATGGTGCTCCTGGGGGCAAAGGGGAACACCAAAGACCAGATGGTTCAGGTAAGCTTTCCTGTCAATGAGAAGAAGAGACTTGTCTGCAAGGTTGTCTTTTATCCCCTCCTTCAGTTTTTCCAGAACTGTTGAGGAAGGAGGGGTGAGCCTGGACCATTTCAGGGAGGGAGCACAGAATGAAGGGAAGGAAAGAGGTAAGGAGTTTCCTCCAGTGAGTTGTTGTGGTTGGTTGCTCGCAGGGGTCACTGTGTAATCTCTTTTTCATTTATAACTTTTCTTGAGTTCATCAAGAAGTTCCTTAAAATTGTGGCCTTGGAACATTTGTTCACTTATGGGAATCAGTTCTTTGCTCCTCCCCCAGATGAGGGGAGTTTGGGCAGTGATGGTAAACTGGTCCTACAGTACTGCAAGTCTCAGGCCTGGGCATGAGCCACAGAGGAAAAACAACTTGCTACTCAAAATGGTGTTTCACAGAGGAAATAGCTCAAAGAACTTCTATTGCTTGTTGTGACAAGAGACTTAACAGATATGAGCTACTCAGCATGTGTCCACTGTGACTCATGTTTATGCATAAGAAAACATCTGTAGAGTGAATAGACTAACAAAAATATGATTGTGTTAATACAGAAATATTCACAAAAGATTGTCATTACATTATGCCTGTTGCTCCTGCCTGTTACTACTGTTGTTTAGGATCTGCCTCCAAGGTTGAAAAGACTGAAATTACATAAACCTTCATTACCAATTTCCAAATGATTCAAATTGGTTACTTGTAGAATTGTCATTCTGACAATTTCTTTCATGGTAAAAATTAATTTACTAAAAGTTTTTATTTGGAGTTTTAAATTATTCAGGAAATTTCAGTTTGTGTGGGATATAAGAAGTTTATATATGTTCTGTCGAATATAATTGTCAAACCAAGTCACATTAACCTCTTACCTGAATACCTCATATAGTCCAGTAGAGGGCATTCCAGCTGATACAACAGGTTTGGCAATTTGGTTGTATATCTTTGCTAGGCGACAGAAGTTTTCTTCATATTTTCTGGCTAATATCTAACAAAGAAAGCTGGTATGTTGACCACTGGAAGACTGAGAAAATAAATGTCATTTAAATTTAATTATGTTGGGAAATGGAAGTAATTTTACAAATTCTAGAAAAATTAGTTTTATAGCTTTTTTCAGTACTAATATTTAAGATTGAATCCCAAAGTTATGCTGCTCTGTCATTTATTTATACAATGTCAAAAGCTAGTGGTGAGTAAATCTAAAGAAAAAAAAATAGACAACATGTTAGTTATTTGATTATTACATAGGAGAGTTATTTCTTAAGAAATTGTTTTTAATAATTAGTAGGTTAATTTCCATGTTGTTGGTATTTTATTTGTAGTGTTGTTGATTTTTAGTTTCCTACATTGAGGTCATTAAATATAAACTGTGATTTCTGTATTTCAGAGTCAAATGAAACTCTTCTTCTGATGCAATATGACACCTTTATTGAAATATAAAGTATCATATAGTATACATATATTATCTCTCTCTAGGATACTGTTTAAGAACTAATTTATTCTTATTAATGATATTACTCATTTTATACTTTTATTTCCTTTTAAATATTATCATGATGATTGCATTCCTGTCCAAATTTTTTTTTATTTTTAGTTTTTTGAACTGTATCTTTTTTGTAAATAAAGAGATGCAAGTTATTTCAGTATTTTGAACTACATAATTTTGTACATAAATAAAGGTAAGTTATTCTCTATTTCTGACACATTTATGGTGTCTGTGGGATGCAGGAATTAAGAATAGTCCCTTTTCTGAACATCTCATGCCCCTTTCATTTTGTTCTATTGCTCATCTATAAACTATGCAGAGAGCTCTGTGCAGGTGCAAAACTTGTATCTTTTACTCAGCAGTTCCCGGCCCCTGTCTCCACCTATCCCAACAGTGTCACTTCTAAGTTAGAATCAACTTCCTCTCAAAGGGTCAATTCATGCAGTATTTGAGAAGAATTGCTTGAAAATTCTTGTGGAGATCAAGATCAAAACTGAGAGGATTTTCTTGCTTTCCTTCACAGGCAATGTCTTTAAATACAGGAAATGTCTTTAAATACAGAGGAAGACATCCATAAGGGCTTCCAGATGCTTCTCACCCAAGTGAACAAGCCTGGCTCACAACAGCCAACAGGCTCTTTGGAGAGAAGACCTGTGATTTCCTTTCAGCAAGTTGAGTCAGCAGAGCAATAAAAGTTGTATTTAAAATACCTGGAAATATACAACCCAAAAGAGAGACCCTAGAGACCAGGCAGGATGGCACACTTGGGAGGCTTAGATGGGAGAATCTTGGGCAACCTAGTGACACCCTCGTCTTGAAAACAAAATGAAAAACTGCCTTGGGACATAGCTCACTGGTACAGCATTTGCTTACTATGCTCAAGGTCCTGAGCTCAATCCCCAGTACTGCAAAAACTTGCCAAAAAAAAAAAAAAGAACAATATTCTTGAGAACTTGAGAAACTCACAGTAAACTTTTTTTAATAAAGAATCCAATTGTACATTCATAACTTGTATTATTTCAATTTTGGCAATATCTAAAATTTCATTTATTTTCTCTGGTTTTTCCAAGCTCAGAAAATATCTCCTTACAAACAAAAATGTTTCATGATCAAGTAGCTTAATATTTGATCATGTTTTAAATTTTTAGAATAGCCTAAAGCTAGCATTCATAATGCTTTGAAGCTCACTGTCATTTTATTGAGCAACCTGACCATTTGAACTATTCCTCTCCAAAGACATTTAAGGAGTCCTGTCTTCAGTTCTACCATGTGGAGCTGGAGCTGCTGTCCTTTGCTGAAGCTACAGAGAAGTCCAGGGAGCACATAAATACTTGGGTCTCAAAAGAGACAAAAGGTCAGAATTATAAGTTATTTCCCTCTCCTCACACCCCACCTCTGTTCTCCTCTCCTCTCTCCTCTACCTCCCCTCCTCACTGCTAATGTCACTGGTGTTGCAGAACCATCAGAGCAAGGTTGCCTGGCTGAACCTCTTGGTGCCTGTGAACCTTAGTGGCTCACAGAAGATCTGATCAGTGCTCAGGTTTTCAAAACCAGAGAATTAATGCTGTCTGTTTTCCTAGTACCAGAGTCACTGATGCAAGTGTTAACAGAAACTTGTGAGTCAGATTTCCCATATAATACTTTACATGTCACTGGCCTTTATTGTTCTCACAGCAGGTGACTCTTATCTATGAAAACAGATCAATGGCCAGATCTTCCCAAGTCATGCCCTTGGCCCTCCTCTTCCTGGGATCAGTTCGGACTTTATTCCTCCCACTTTTAAGGTGAATTCTCCTACTTCTTCTTTCCTATCTCTTACTTAAGCACACTTCATTAGATTTGAGAAGCCTAGACTTGATTAGTCAACTACAGAATCTCTTTCAGGGCTGATCCATTCCACAGATTGAAAACACCCTGCTTGTGAGGTTAAAACATACTAATTTCTTTTTAGAGTGTGACAGGTTCTAACCTTTGTCCTCTAGATCAATAATGCTTTGATGTTTGAACCATCCAGGCACTTATACACCACTAGGAATGTCTCTATTTCTGCCAACAAATGAGTTAGTAAAAACTAGAGGTAGTACTTTTCACTATTTCTTCTTGGAATCTTTTCTTCTTGTGCCCTCTAGAGGCAGCAAATTAGCAGGGATGCTCTTAGTTCCTTGGAACTATACCACTTGATATACAGGGAAAGAAGGACATACCTTCACCTACACAAATCATTACCTGTTCCAGGGATTCCAGGTGCCAGGAGGGTGATATCATATTATTTCTTCTGTAGTTTCCAGAAACACCTCCCATGTCCCTGCTTTGGAGCTATTCAATTCTGTGTGCCTCAGGAATGTTGCAGGTAGCTGTACAATGTTAGAAATGGGCCTGACCACAGAGCCTTAGACTTGACACTGCTCTTACCCACACACAACAGGTAATGTCAGCTTCTACCCAGCCCCTCTCTTCTTTGCTGCTTGTCTTCTTCTCCAACGTGGTGTCAAGTTTCTGCTTTGTCCCAATCTGCTTTCCTCCAGTGACATAGAAATCTTTCAATATCTTCAACTTGGTGGCTCTTCCAGTGCCTGTGGTCATGAATACCACTCATAGCTGGGATTTTTGACTTTTATACACATCATCCAAACTCAGCACATTTGAAAGCAGAATGTTTGAATCTCCAAGACATTGTGTCATGCTTATTCACTAAAGATTCAAAAAAAGTAACTGACAGAGTTTGTGCTTTTCTTAAAAGGAAAAATTCCAGAGTTGCTACCAATGGGCTCAATTAATGAGCAGGTCAGGATGATTCTTGTCAATACCATCTACTTCCAAGGAACATGGTACAAGCTATTTGACAAATCAAGCACAAAAGAAATGCCTTTCAAAGTAAACCAGGTAGGGTGAGACATCAAAAATTATGCTAATCTGATGAAGAAATTGCATAGAAAATTTAACTTTGTAAAGGCATAAATGGTTAATAATAATTTCAAACTTATTATCTCTCTTAATGAATTTTAATCTCAGTCAAAAATGATTTGAAAAATAATACTTGGTATCTATTATGGTTTCTAGCCTATTACGACTCTAACTGCCTCTGAAGAAGTATCCTACATGTATTGGCTTAACCTTATTCTGGACACAAACATCTTCTTATAGACAATAGTTGCTATTATATATATCAGAGACATGAGACAGAGTACAAAGAGGAAATATGAAAACACATGTCTTAAATCAGGATTTTTGTTTTGTTTTTACATTTTTGTGCAATGAGGGATCAACCTCAGAGCTTGTGCATGTTAAGCAAGTGGTGTACCATGAAGCTACACCCCAGATTTTCCATCTATTATTCTTTAAATTAAAATAATCTCATATTTAGTTACTGGAGTTCTGGCTTTGAGGTACAGTACTTGCCTATCATGTGCAATGCTCTGGGTTTGATCTTCAGCACCACATAAAAATAAATAAAATAAAATAACTAGTTATTGTGTCCAACTACAACTAAAATATTTTAAAAAATAATCTCACACTTGAATTGTTGTTATTTATAATTTATCATTATTGGTTCAGCATCTGCAACTTCTTATTATTAAAAATGACTGCAAAGGTCCTGGGCAACTGTGAGCTATAAGTTTAAGTAAAACAGATATTAGAATACTTTGCTTGATTCTGTAAACCCTAAAGATGCAATGTAATGCAATAAGGAAGCTTGTATGCATTAAGCTCCTCCCCTTATTTATAAGGCATGTTTCAGATAACTATTTATTAATTTCTAGCAGTGCTGGACCACAGAAGAGTTGAGAGTTTTGTTTCTCCTTTTAATACTGTTTTAAATGCTGTGCTCATGTGATCAATCCTCTCAGGAGGAGGAAAGGTCAGTGCAGATGATGTGGAAAGAAGCCAATTTTAACTATGTCTACATCCGTGAGGCCCAGACACAGGTGTTGGAGCTGCCCTATGCTGGCAAGACGCTGAGCATGATCATCCTGCTCCCAGATGAGGACATGGACCTCAGGGTGGTGAGTTGGGAGGGGCTGCACTCCTTTAAACTCACAATTTCTGTGAGAAGAAGTGGGTACACCCTGTGCCTTTCTTTCACAGTATCTCCAACCCATGAGCCCAAATGGCCCAGCCCTGTCTGCCTTGCTTCCTTGTGATATGATCCCTATAGCAAGAGAGTTAACCATCCTCTCAATGGTGGCAGTGCACTGTGATGACCTGAATGGTCACTGGGAGCAGAGCAGCTCCCATGGGCTTTCCCTCTCTTCAGCTCCCTAATGTGAAGATGAGTTTCCACAAACAGTGCCTCATTCCACCATAGGCAGTTGTCCCTCTCCTGGAGAGGCCCACACTGAGAGCCCTTCCTTTGCCCAGTGTCTTTGGCTTGTCAGCAATGGTTTATTGTATGAAAACTAAACCTCATTCAAAGCAACAACAACAACAAAAAAAAAACACAAGAAAAGCCCCCTTGACTTGGCATAGATGCTTTTCACAAATAAACATGGCTTGCTAGTGGATGAATAAGGAGGGACAGCCACAGTCTTCATGCAGGGAAATATATATGAGATAGCATGTGGGGTGGTAGAAAAGCCAGATCCCTCACAAGTTTCTGGGCAGCTGAAGGCACTTCCAGTCCTGTGTGGACAGTCAATAAGGAATATTCATGGAAATGTCTGTGTGTCTGTCGATACCCACCATAGTCTGAATATGAACCTGTGATTCTGGTCTTTCAGGTGGAAAATAACCTGACTTTTGAGAAATTCATAGCCTGGACCAAGGCAGCCTCTTTGCAGAATACTGAAGTGGAAGTTCTCCTTCCGAGGTTTAAACTGCAGGGGGATTATGACATGGAGTCTGTGCTTCAGCGTTTGGGAATGGTCGATGCCTTTCAACAGGGCCAGGCTGACTTCTCTGCCATGTCATCTGAGACAGACCTGTGTCTGTCCAAGGTTGTGCACAAGAGTGTTGTGGAGGTGAATGAAGAAGGGACTGAGGCTTCGGCAGCCACCAACATAGATATAGTGGGTTAGTGTGATTCATGTTCACCAACATTCTGTGCTGACCACCCCTTCCTTTTCTTCATCAGGCATCATGAATCCAACACTGTTCTGTTCTGTGGTAGGTTCTCATCTCCCCAAGGGTTGCACTTCCTCTCCATGGAGATTTTCCCTTTTTCCATGTCCCCAAATTTTCACTACAGTTCATAAGGATGGGCCTTTAGGTGAACACCAAGTAGAAAAATGAGGGCAAGGTCCTAAGCCTTCTGAACAACTTGCCAGTGTGATCTCCTGATACACCACACTCAGCTGTCCCCATACTGCCCACTCATTTGTACCATAGAACCAGGGTCATGGCCAATAGACTGTCCTGATTCCCTGTTGTATTATGTGTGCAGTACAGATTGCATAGGATAGCTTGCAAACTTTCCCCAGATGGCCCCTAACACATTTCCCACTCATTCCACATGGAATTCCTTTTACTTATCTTGTGCTTTCCTGGTACTTCAAGGAAGTGTCTCAATGGTAGAGCACTTGTCTAGCAAGTTAGGGTTAGACTCTCATCACCACATATAAATTAAAATAAATAAAATAAAGATATTGTGTCCATCTACATCCAAAAAAAAAAAAACTTTAATGAACATTTTGTCTACCTTTGGCATTCACCAATCACCATTGCAATGCTACGCATTGCAATATATGCTAGGAACACAAGGGAACAGAATCATGGTCCTTTGGCACCTGCTCTTTATTATGTATTCCCAATTTATACAGTGTCTATGACAAACAGATTGCACAGTTGAAGAGCTTTGAACTACCACATACCCCCATTGCAGCTAGGATACCTTGCCTGGTAGTATTGCATTTCTCAACCTCCAACCCAAACAATGACATGCCATTTAGTGCTTAAAGTTCCATTAATGTCATCTTCTTCAGGACATTTTCCCATTCTCCATAATCAGAGGTACATCTTTAAACTTTCACAAAAACTGCCCATGATAGTTGTATTGCTTATTTATTAATCATTTTTGTTCTTAGTCTTTAGACTAGGCCTTAAAGTCTCCAAGATTTGTGATTATATTCTACATGCTATAGTGTGGTATTAAATAATTTGATCCTATATGACCTCTGTAGTAATTTTTTAGTTGTTGAACATCAACAACTTTGTTGTTCCTTTTAGATATTTTTATCCCAATGACATCCACATTTTCACAGTTCAGAGCCATCTAATACATGGTGCAAAGGTGTTGTGCAACCACAAGTTTTACTGTGTGCCCAAAGGTTTTCATTGCCTCCAAAAGAAATCTGTATCCACTAAGCAGTTAATCCTTATCCCTTTCTCCCTCTAGTCACTAGCAACCATGATTCTGCTTTTTGTGTCCATGGATTTTCCTGTTCTGCATATTCCGTATAGACTGAATCATAAAATATATTACGTTGTGTGTCTGGCTTCTTCACTTAGTGTGATGTGTTCTAGGTTGAGTCTTTTTGTGGCATCAGTATTTTATTACTTTTTATGATTGAATAATATTCCAGTACCTAAATATGACACAATTGTTTTATTCACTCATCCATTGATGGACTTTGGATTTCTATCCCCTTGTGGTTTTTTTTTTAATAGTTCTGCTATGAAATTGCATGTTTGTGAATTTGCTTGAATACCTATCTACACTATTCTGTGTATATACAGATTTAGGAATAGAATTGTTGTTCATAAGATAATTCTATTTAACTTTTGAAGAACCACCAAGCACAGTGCCTAACCCATGTCACGTTCCTACCAGCAATGTATGAGATTCCAATTTCTCTGCATATCCTCATGCACACTTGTTATTTCTTTTTTCTTTATTTAAAAATCATGAACACACTAAAGGTGATTCTTTCCATAGTGATCAATTCTCTGCCTTATCCCTGCTCCAGAGCCCTGGAGCTGGTCAACCATGGATGAAGACTCTGCAACTGTGAGCCAAAAGGAAATCTCCTTCTCCTGGTCATTCTGGTCAGATGATTTGGCCACAGCGATGAAGAGCTGACTAACACAAAGGTGCACAGCTGATTGCAGAAAGCCCACAATAAGTGGTCCAGCTACATTCCTACTAAGGGGACCAACCTCTCGTGATCAGACTTGATAGTTTTCCATTGCTTTTAGGATAAAGATTAATCTCTTTTTGGAGAGCTAACCAGATAGTTCCTGATTTAACCTTTTCTCCTCTCCCCCTTTGCCATTTCTCAATATCAATCCTTCTTTCCAACCTTATAGAATTTTTTTGCAGTTTCCAACTATTCCATGCTCTGCCTTTACTCTGGGGCTGAACAGTTGTGACCAATGATAGTTAGCTTCCCATTATTGTGACAAAGTACTTGTGATAATCAACATGAAAGGAGGAATCCTTTATCGTGGGTCACACTTTCAGAGGTTTCAGGCTTGGTTGGCCTCTTTGGTTGTTCTTGGGCCTGTTTCAGGACAGTTCATCATGGTGGCAGTAAGTGATGGAGCAAAGATGCTCACTCACTGTGGCCTGTAAAGCAAAGGAGGAGGTGACTGGTGTCCTGAATATTCCCTTCCAAGACACACCACCCATGGCTTAACTTCCTCCACTAGGCCCTACCTCCAAAAGTTCCTCCATCTCTCAGGATCTCCACAGGCTGATGAATGCACCTTCAACCTATGGAACTTGGGGATCATCCCAGATCCAAACTACAGTGCCATCTTCTCCTTAGGAAACCCTTCCTTTCCACTAGTCCTCTCCCACCTCCTCGCTGCCCCACCCCCTCACTGGCTAAGCTTCACTGGTCCTTTCCAGAGTTAAAGACTCCCCCTGTGTGCTTAATTATTTTGCAGAAGAAGTATTTAGTGCAAGGGGAGTGGAGGCAGGGGGGTATTGTTGAGAGCAGCTTTATCCTATTATACACGCAGGTTGTCTACAAAGGGCACTAAATCGTCCCAACAGGTAGTGGGCATTTCCCAGTGGCCAAATAGGGTGTGTTTCTCTGGTTCTCTGTGGTAGAGATGAAAGTGGCTGAGGTTGGCTAATGGTTCTATCTGCCTTCCTCAGGGGCTTCTCTCACCCTTCAGTGTGAATAAGGCCTTTGTCTTGTTGGACAATGTGGTCTCCAGGAGCCAGCACCTAGCGGTCACCAAGGGCCCTCGTTGGCTCATTTCTGATGCCTAACAAGTGGCCAAGTTCTTAGATATCCACATATCTTCATGGGCCCTGAAAGCCATGGCCAGCCTTTGTGCAATGAGCACCATCCAGGCCACACATGGTGCCTCCCAAAGGTGCCACGTCCTCAGAGTCCTCAGCGTTGTCCTCAGCTGGGATGGGCAAGATTGGGCTAGGAGACTGGCAACCCACAGGGTCCTGGGTCCAACCTGTCACTGCCACCATCAAGTTATAGGGGGAGTGAGAGGGGAGTCTCACCCATCCTTCAGAACCTAGGCCAGCCTCAGTTTCAATCTCCCTTCCTTGTCCCTGCCCTGCTCACCCATCATGGCTGACTAGCTACCTAACACCCTAGTCCCTGGGCTTGTCTTTTCCTTTCACTGTTCTAGGCTACTGGCTCCTAAACCAGTAAAATCATCCTCCCCCTTTACTGACACCTCTTTCTTCTCTTGCTCCCCAAGCTCCATCTATGTCCCTTTCATTAAGGATCTTTCTTCCCTCACCCCTGAGGGAACCAGCTGGGGAGACCCCGTTCACCTTTATCTTCTGGTCTCTGTCTTAACTGCAGCTTCTGGTAAGTGGTGGTTCATGTCCATTTACTTTCTTCAGAGCCTCTCTTCCTGTGCACTCTTCTGAGTCCAACCCTGACTCCCTCTTGCCCTTGGCCATGGTCTTCTAAGAACATTTTCTTTCATCCCCCATACCCCCTCATAATATGAGCAGCTGGTTCTCAGATTCTAGGTCTCTCTTTACCCTTTTCTGATAAATCAAAGGCAGACAGAAGAACGTCTGGGCATTTGTGGGAACACAGCCTACACTAAGTACTTGGGCAGAAGAAATTCTGTTTGGGGGGACTCTCAAGAGAAGAGCCTTTGATTTACAGGGCCACATCCTACCATATGACCTGTCACAGTCTTTGAGATACTGGGATATCTTGTCTGTCCCTGATGTGATCTAGAAGTACATTCTGCCTAAATGTCTTGTTTTTTTTTAAATTTGTTTGATTGTTTTCATTTGTTTTATAACATCACAACATTGTTGATTAGGAAATTTTTTACAATACAACAAAAAATACAGACATGCAATATATGGATGCCACTAAACGCAGCATGATGACTTTCTTCCCTCTTTAACAGACCATAATGCCCACTGCTAATAAAACAAAGACAATGCATATAGGCAGAAACAAATCAGTCATTAGCTTCACAATTTGTCTAGAAATGATCTATATATGCATTTTACTGTTGCTGCTTATGATAAAATATAAAAAGGGAGTTAAAGGAAATTTCCCTTTTTGGTTCCTATTATATAAAAGATGCTATATCCTATTGTAGCAGGGCCACTATATGAAAAATAAGTAAATTAAATGTTATTACAAAAATGAAAGAGTTCTGAGATTCTGGTTAAAGAGGGCACTAAACAAAAAAATACTAATGTAAAGATTCCAAAACCAAAAGAGAGGTTGTTATTAAAAAGCTCTAGGTGCATTGTAAGCATATAGCATTTTATTCCCATGTGTTTTTTCAAACAATGGAGATGTCAGAAATTAGGGTCAACTGTGTTAGACTAAATTACATTATTGTATAGGCTGCATTGAATGGTACTGTATTATCAGTATCACAGAGAAGCACAGTTTGCATCAGTTTATCCTCCATGAAAACCTTCCAGAGTCCCTTTATTTTGGAATATCCTATGAACAATTAGACCACCAGAGCATGATTTTACATTGGTAAAATGTTCTCTTGAATAAAATAGAAAGGATATTTTGAATAAAAATTTTAAGAAGGAAAAGAAAATGTAGAAAAATACTTAGAGCTCTTACTTTCTAAGTACACAATTCCCTACCGAATTCAAGGCATCTTAATCTCCATCAAGAACAACAACAAAATAAGTTTTGTAGTCTGTTAAATCTATCATTATAAATAAAACTGGTATAAATTGGTCAAATGAAGCCAACAAACACATAAGGTTTTGGGCACCATTCTGTATCCAAATGACAACAGTCATTCAGTTTCCTGTGAATGTAATTTTTATTCAACTCTCATTTTATAAACCAATAAGTACATATTATCATAATTTCTGCTCATAAGTAGAATTCAATGTGAATATACATCTCACAAATGAGTTAATTTAAATTTGTTGGTAAGATAAAATTCTGAATATCTAAAATTAACCAGGAGCAGTGGCTCCCACCTATAATCCCAGTGGCTCCAGAGAATGAGGCAGGAGGATTTTGAGTTCAAAGTCAGCCACAGCAAAGGCAAGACACTAAGCAACTCAGTGAGATACTGTCTCAGATAAAAAAGTAGGGCTGGGAATGTGGCTCAGTGGCCAAGTGCCATTGTATTCACTCCCCAGTACCCACCCCAACACAAAATAAATAAATAAATAAATAAATAAATAAATAAATAAATAAATTGTCTAAAATTCTTAATATTTTTCTCAGGTTGCTGGCCATTCAGGATTATATTTATCTCTGTTAGATGTTTAAGATGCAATGTCCATTGCTTTCTGTTTTAAATACAATTTTAACTTTTATGTTTGACAAAGAAATAAGGTATTGACTATCCTGGTCTGATATCTTGGTTTTCCACGAGTAATTTAAAAATGGGAAATAGGTAAATATAAGAAAGTAAATGCTTATAAATGAAGATAAAACATATGAATCATTCATATATTACAACAATGACAATTCAACTTCTAAATGTAAATTCAAATAGTCTTAGCTTCCTGATAATAATATCTATTAAATGTATTTTTATAAATGATTGGTATATAGAAAAACAACTTACTTTTGCTCTTCCCTGCATATTTACTTAAAAATAAGGCTTTACTGAGTACAGTGGCACCTGCCTGTAATACAAGTGGTTAGGGAAGTTGAGGCAGGAGGATTGCAAGTTCAAAGCCAGCCTCACCAATTTAGCAAGGACTTTAGCAACTTCCTGAGACCCTTTCTCTAAATAAAATATAAAAATGGCTGGGATATGTGGCTAAGTAGTTGAGTGTCCCTGGGTTCAATAAAAAAAGGGCTTTAAAGAGTTAATGTTCAAACTAACATGTGCAATTCTATACAGAATGATAAAGGGAGAAAGGTCTTAATGAGCATTTTGATGAAGATATTGAAAAATGTAGTATTGTATCTTATTAAAAAGAAGGAAATTGTCTAAATTTTAAAGATTCATATGGTTTGTTTCAACCTGTAAATTTAAATTTAAGAGAGAAAAAAGGCAGAACAAACCTTTTCTCTTATTTCAAACAAAAAGTTGGA